ATATTTGTAATTTCCTTTGAGTGACAAACCCCCTGTGGCTGCAGGGGGTGCAGGGGTTGGCCCCAACCAGCCCCTTTGCTCCCTGGCCAAGCCCCAGGCTCCAGCATCCTCTCCCAGAGCAGGCAGGAGGGCTGGAGGCTCCAAGGAAGCTCTTACTGAGATCGATGGCTGAGGGAGGCCCTGGGGTGTGGGGAGAGCCTGGACCAGCCCCAGGCTCAGCACCATCCTGCCCTCGGGGCTGAGGCTGCTGTGGGTCCCCTTCACTCACGTTCCTCCTGCTCAGTGGGTTAGTGCTATGAAGGCTTCTGCCAACTTGGAGGGGCAACCTGTGTGCACATAGATGTGTGTGTGTGTATAAAACCCCATATATTTATATATATGTATTATATTTATGTATGTTATGTAACAGACAGTATATAATACATCCAAACATAATATAAATTACAAATACACATATAATATTAATATATCTCCCCTCCATACATGGGGGGTATATATATATATGTGTAAGTATGTGAAAAAGTGTGTATATATGTGTGTGTGTGTGTATATATATAACAAAAATACCCACACCCCACACAGTTGTTTGTGTGTGTGACATATATTTGTCTAATTGGTTGAATCCAGCCCAGGTGTGTTTTGCAGAGGACAAACAGCCATCCCTACAGGCACTGGCCCCCACGGACACGGGTGGCAAGGAGGGGCTCCTGGGGCAGGATTCAGGTGGGTTTTTTTCTTTGTAGAAACTTCTATTTTCTCTTTGTTTTTTTAGCCACAAAGTTAAAATTACCTGAAGTTTTGGTGGTTTTTTTTTTAATTGATTGTTTTCATGAAGGGTCTGTGGGGGATGCTTGTGCTTCACCACTGGTGTTCTTGCTTTTGCAGCCATTGCACTGCCTTGAATCAGGTAACAGCTGTGGGTGGGATTCCTGCCCCTGCCCCTCCCGGGAAGTCACTCGGGATCTCTTCATAACCCTGCACTTTGTTCTGCTGCCCCTGCCCCTTCACCCACCCCGCGGTTGGTCTGTGCCAACTGCAACAAACTTTCTGTGGTTTGTTTTCTCCCTCCCTGTTTTTTCAGTCCATCCCCAGCTCCACCAGAACTAGGGAAGTGAGAGGAAGCACAGAACCCAGGGGCAGCACAGCGGGAGCAGCTGCGGGAAAGTGGTGGCAGGGATGGAGGGCAGGGATGGAGTGATGCAGGGCAGGGATGCAGGGATGCAGGACAGGGATGGAGTGATGCAGGGCAGGGATGCAGGGATGCAGGACAGGGATGGAGTGATGCAGGGCAGGGATGCAAGGCAGGGATGGAGGGACGCAAGGCAGGGATGCAAGGCAGGGATGGAGGGATGAAAGGCAGGGATGCGAGGCAGGGATGGAGGGATGCAAGGCAGGGATGGAAGGATGCAGGGCAGGGATGGAGGGATGGAGGGCAGGGATGGAGGGATGGAGGGCAGGGATGCAGCAATGCAGGACAGGGATGGAGTGATGCAGGGATGGAGGGACGCAAGGCAGGGATAGAGGGATGCAAGGCAGGGATGCAAAGCAGGGATGCAGGGCAGGGATGCAGGACCCAAGCAAGGGTCCTCCCTGGGGTGCCATTATCCCACCACACTGCCCCATCTCCTCGGGGCCCTCAGGGCCGTGGGGGGGTAACCCCATTTCGGCAGCTCAGCCGCCGGGCACCAGGACGCTGCCTCCATCCATCCCGGGCGTTCCCATTCAGCGGAGCCAAATCCCCCGGGAGCAGCGGGGGGGAGGACGTTCCCATTATCCGGCTCCTGCCGTGTCGGAGGCAGCTGGACCAGCCGTACATTAATAGATTCCACAGCGGATTTGGGCTCAGCAGCAGCCC